CGGACTAGAATACTTACGCGAGTACCTGCCCTTTAGGTGGCTATTTGTTAAAGACCTTCGAACTAATCTGTGAAAATTTCGAGTCTTAATGTTTACAAATAAAAGAGATATGAAAAAAATGTATCTTGACTCGTATTGGTCGTAGAACGTTTTTTTAAATTGCGTTTTTAACCACCTGTCCAGATCAACTTGTTAAAATAAATAAATTATATTTGAAAATAACGAGGTTATTGTAAATGCCTATAACTATAAAAATGGCTATTTTTTAACATCATTTTCAACAACAATTTTGAAACAGATGAATTTCTTTTACATAATTTCTTGAAGTTGAAACCTCCAAGAATACATATTGTAAAATGTACTAGGACCATATATTGGGCAAGAACAGTTGTTTAAATAATTTGTATGTGGGATAAACAATTAGCTTTTCACATAAACTACTAAACCTATCCGGCTGAAATTTAGTACACATATTAACACCAACAATATCCTCATTCTAACAAATTGTTAGCTATCTACAATTTTTATTGCAATAGTTATAAACATTTATTCAGTATTGCTAGAAAGCCCGTATTTAGCTTAATTGTCTATCGATTTCAATTAGTCAAAAACAAAATTGAAGGTCTTTCTATGCCCTAAAATCTCCAGTCTACCGGTACCGGTTTATAAAATTTAATTTGAAAAATGTACAAGCAAAATACTGAATTTTGAGCTTTTCCAATAGTTTGTAAAAAACAACGCATATCTAGCTGTATCTTTTTTTGCATTTGTCATTAGAAAGACCCCTTTTCATTTACAACTTCCAGATATCTGCTAAACTTTTTTTCACGAAATATCGTTTTTTTTTCTCTGAAGCGTGCGCTATATGCTCTTAATAATATAAATCAGTTGTAAAGCAGGTTTCTACAATTGTAGGACTATGGCCTCCTTGAGTTTGGTAGACTTTTCTCTCCTTCAGAAAGGCTGGGGTATTTCGAGATTTCTACTGTCTCGCTCTATTATTGTTAAACTATGTTTATTTTGAATTGTAGCAAACTTCAGGCTAATACAACAGGTTATATAAATCAAAAGCATGAACAATTTGATGCAAATATATATTTGTAACATGACCTCAAAATAGAGCGCTGACACGGAACAGTAGAAAACCATGAAAATCAAGGAGGCCATAAAGGCGTCCTGCAGTAAACGACTAACGATAGGATCCAGACGCTTTTTGACTAGTTATCTTGGTCTAATACCGACTTCCACAATCCTATACTCCATGATTGTTCCTTCAACAGCAGAGATCCAAAATCAACCTTCGGACAAGATCTGCGCGAACGGATCTTCCCGAGGCATCATCCGCTCATGGTCACTGTCAGCACTGCTGTCAGTAATAGTACTGCTACTGCCCAAGCAGTAGACTGACAAAAGTATCACCAGTCATCGCTTCCGCTAAACCAGTAGATGATCAAGTGATCAAAGGCAATCAGCGTACAGTTATGGCAGGACGAATCACACAGTCAATTGAAGAAGTGCTTGGATTATATTGATGACCGGAGTAGAAGATCGGATGTGAGGTTTTTGTAGGTAAATGCTGCTGTATGATGACCAGCAAGCGTAGAAGTCATATGGGATATGATTCCTAGTTCTGAATATACTAGGGTGATGGTATGTAACACAAGAGTTTCCAGAAATCATTCACATGGTATCCCTCTGTGTAGGTCAAAAGAACTGATAGAAATCTTATAGAGAATGGCTTCCATATATTTTCTTAAATTCAGTACTAGATTTTAACAAGTATATCAAAAGTGACTATGGGCCGAGATATATCAACATGTCAGCATGTTGTGGGTTCAGTTTACGATATGAAGGGGTATAGGCAAAGAACTGGGAATGTCACAAATTTTATATTTTTTTTTTTTTAGTTACCTATTTGAAGCAAACCGTTGTCTATGATATTTTGATACCCAATCGTTAGCATTTAAAATAAGTAAACATATGGCACCAAAAAGACGTTTTTGTTTATGGCCGTAAGAAGGATTATCCAAAATGAGGTTAGAATTTATATAAAGTTTGAGGTATAATCATCTGAAGTTGAATATAGTTTCTAATTCAGATAATGAAGGAAATAATCAGAGTGCTTAGTATTAGCAAATCGACAAAAAAGGAAAGAACCCAAGATGCAATGAAAAAGTTGTGACTTTCTTCTCATGAACAAGGGCACCGTGTTATTGTTCAAGGTTCAAGTGTTTTGAAAATATAAATGAAAATAATCAAAGAAATAGTATTATAAAGGTTTATAAAATGAAACGAAGAAGAAACAGGAAGTTTGAAGATGAGACTAATTTTCATACAGCTGCATAAAGTGAGGATAAAAGATGAAGATATCAACAATAAAGTTATGAAAAATGTGCCTAAGATATGTTTTAAAGCATTCAGTCACATCACATTAACTCATTTAAAAGAAGATTGAGCAATTACAGTTTAAAGAGACAGCACAGGAAACTAAAATATGATTAAAAAACAAACATTCTGATAACTGTAACAGACATTTCTTGTTTTTTAATTGTTTCAAAATGTTTCATTTGGTTTTTGTTCAATTTATCTTTAACTAATAGGTCCAAAGTGAATGGAAAAATTATATTAGATCTCGTATAAAAGATTTAATTAGTTCTAAGTAAAAGTTACTACATACTTTGATCTCAATAAAAATAATATAGGTACTTTAAAATTTTCAATTGCGTTTTTCTCAAAATCGGTTCATTAGGACATTCCCTATTTATTGCCTGTACCCTTTATATGTAATATTTATTTGACATTTATTTATGTTCTTATCAACATCCCTACCAGCTGGGTCACTAACATTACATTGCATTACATTCTATTACATGTACGCAAATACAAACCGGCTTAAGGACCCTGCACCATCTCTGATTTCAAAAGTACTCAGGATTGTACAGAGTATTCGAATATCCTGGACAACGAAGTTGCTTTTTTGACAGATATCTATGCCACCGTACTTATGTAAAAGCCAGTAAAGTCAATTTACTGCCTTTTTGAAATCTAGACGTCAATATACGTTTATTTCTCTTACGATTACAATTTCAAAATATATCATTGATTACGTACCTTAACATCAATTGTTATTTTTTCACTTCATCAAATATTGCACATTAATTACACTACCTCAGAATAAAAGCAAAAAACTAAACTAGACTCCAGTGGAATATTCTTCAGATTAGTAATTTCGGGCAACCTGCTATATTTTGAAGGATTTTTAACGAGTACCTATACTGTTTGGAGTCTCATAATTTAATGTGCTCATTCAGATCGACAGAAATAGATTATTACTAAAACATCAGTGTTAACTATTCCATTACTGTATGGAAATATTATATAACATTATTTCGTTAAGGTCGATTTTTGTTGAGATAGAACCAAATATTAAAAAGGAAAATTTCCAGCTGGCGGTTCCGGCGGTGATTATTCGTCATGTTAAGAATTGTATTTCAGAAAACTTCGATAAATTATGCAACCAAAAATGGCTTCCTCTATTGATAAAAAATAAAATAACATTTTTTCAGCTATGGGTCCCGTTTTTACTTTTTTACCCATAATTACATTACACGTGAAACGTTGCGATTGATGTATTAACGCTCAAATGTTTCTTTTCTATATACTGTCTGTAAGCTTCTAAATCTAAACGATATCATTAAATTAAAAAACGCACAAAGAACAATTTTAAAATGTATTGAATTATCAAGAGTTTGTTACGACAATTCACCACACATAACTCGATTTCTGAAAACTTGTGGCATACCATGTATTCTGATTTCGCTTTGACAATATATGTGGTAAAAAACGTTTGTGGTCATTTTACAGGGTAATCAAGGTATAGCTGAGGTAAGAGACCGTTTCTATGTAGGTAGAAAGCTTTTAGTGTTTAAATAAATTCTTAGAGGTCTAAGAAGAATGGCCTATATACATTTATATCACTGATGATTCGATATAATTCAAAATCGCACACACACAAATACATGTGAACTAGCTCTTATGTATAGAGCCCAAGTGTATATATACATGTTATGTAATATAACTATAAATAGGTAGAATTGACTTAAAAAAGTGGGGTGATTTTCTAAAGAATACTGATTATTACTACAACTGCTATGTATTATCATTTCGTCAATCGTTTTCACTTTTCTCTATTCGGAACAGATTGTTACTGTTTTTCCAAATAGATTAGCTGATAGTAGCATGCCCAAAAATACAGATGAAGGTGCTCTACAAAATGCTTATTACAATTTGATGGGAACTGTGGAAATGATTTAGAATCTATATTGACAAACGCCATCAAACAATATTCTATAATTTCTCGCTTCGTATCCGTAGCAGCACACTTTTTCTAACAAAATATATAAGGTTCTTAAATTCATTCAGTTGAGATATATTGGAACTACTTGAAACAATCTATTATACTATCTTTCATGAGAAACTCCAGTATTTACATTTTCAGATGGTAATTCAACTGAAAAATGGAATCAACCAAATTTGATTCCTTTACTAGCGAATTTTTCAATGTATCATAATCTGTCCTAATACAGCCATTATAGTTGTAGCTACGAGCATGTACTATGTGCCAGAGCATAACTTACACGGCTTGGGGTAACAGAAAAGTAGTTACATTATTCCTAAGTATAGTAGCTTTAAGTTGACATTTATCACTATATAACTTACTGTATAATCATCTGTCTTCCTATTGGTCATCTTAACACATTATTCGATTACAAAAAGATAAATACAAACATATTAAAAGTCAGTACAAAGTGTATTATTGCATATCAAAGCATTTATAGAAAATTGCACAGAATATTTTATCAATCTTCCTGATCAAAATGCATTCTTTCCTACTATTTGAACCCAAACGTTCACTCGGTTGAATTATCATTCAGAAAAATATGTGATACATTAATGCATTGAGAAAGATGCCTATAAACTCATATGAGTAATATTTAATAATGAATATGCATAAGCTAAAACAATATCATAATTGGCCAAAATCAATGCACAACAGCATTGTTATTGGAAGAGTCTCATTACATTCTTCAATCAGATTTGGTCAATTTTGCATCAAATTTGTTGAAAGCTTCATGAAAAATCTTCCAAACAATGATACAATGCATTTCTGTATCACTGTGTATAAATGCCCCTTGACCATAGCCTTTTATAGTACTATAGTCCTTCTAGTGCCTCTGCATTCGTAGTCTTTAATGTACTGAAAAACCAACGAAAATATACACTTTTTGAGAAATTACTTAATCGTGACAGGATCGCACCTAATTCTTCGTCTTAAACTGATCTGTTCTTAATGCTAAGGGTGATGTGTTGGGAAATCTATCTGAGAAGTGTCTAAAAAAAGATTATTTGAAAAAATTTGCATATTCCTAAAGAGAATTCGGAAAATGTTATCTGGGTAGTATTGTAAGCTGGATTTCTCAGAAACAACATTTAAAAAAATTAAAGGAAAATGAATAACGCTGTTGTCTGAAACAAGTTGGATACGAGATTTACAAACTAAAGGCTCTAAATAACTGGATTTTGGTCAGAATTCATTCTTAAATAGCTATGAACAAAGGGTTGTCCAATCCAAAAAGAATTCTGAATTGGACTTCGCCTAATCCTGTAAAGAAGGACACAATAAGCCTTATAAGTACAACTATTAGGAAAGTATGCCCTAACCCGTTTGCCACTAGAAATGTGATAGTTTGAACTGTCACAACCCGAAATTAGCTACTCATACAAGTCCCAGAAAAGAATAACTACCTCAACCATATCAAAATCCAAGATAAAGTTGATCTGTTATTTAATCCTATCTCATAGATGGCGCTGTCTATATGCTCATATATGCTCATAAAGTTGACTACAGCACAATCTATGATCTTATGTATTTATTCCCTTATTTTGATATTTTAAAAGTCGCATGCTGCTTTATGAATTGGATTATTTGAAAATGAGTAGGAAACGAATGGTGTGACGACGTACGTAGCACCTTCTATCTTTGTCGGACTTTATGATGTAGCGGTATAGCATCTTTCTTCTTTTTCTTTGATGCAGGCATTGCGTCGGTCGTATTCTAACAGTCTGTTAAGGAAATTCTCATATATGCTTTATATTTTAAAGGTTAATTAAATTACATGTGTAGTAGTGGTAGTAGTGAGGAAAAATCTATATCTACATACCGCGGTGGAGGCGGCCATTATTGTGCTTGCACATTATATCCCTCGACGCTATGCGCCTCAGGATAAAAAAGTGCTTGCCAGCCAATAATGACATACCAAGGTATCTAAGTGTACTACTACTACTTATACATATTACATATAAGGGCCAATCAAATCGCATACAATTTTTAAAACTATTATAGTCAATAATTCTTTCTCATTGATTTCCTAAGTCGCAACACCCTTCTAATGATCACCCCAACGTTTACTAAAACATATCCAAATGATGGTGCAAATTACTACCTAACGTGTGTAATTTAGATGTCATACTGCTGTGTGTAAATATTTGTACCTTTCCCGCCTGACCTGTAAACATGTTCTAAATTGAACAGGAAATTGTCTAGCATGCAACAATAGCACGCCATCTTTTACTCTCCAAAACTCGGCCATTATGATTACCATCTACGTGTTTGCGAAAATTATGCATTAGCTTGCATAATACTTCCCAGAAAATCCGAAATATTCACCTTGTGGAAATTTAATGGAGTAAATGTTTAAAGTTGACATCCTGAAAAATCGGTACTTACCAACGAATTCGAATAGATTAGAAGGAGCCAAGCCTATATCGCCAAAACTGCGTAATTTTCGTGCATCACTATAACTCATTTGTCTACTAATGATAATAATAATTCCTACCTTCATGAGTCCTGTTCCGCTCTTTGCAAATTGTGTAGGAAGCACCAAGTCTCGAAATCGTCTAGCCAATAAACGAGCCAGTCAAACTCTTGTTTGTCTCCTCATTCTCATAGTCTGCAGTGAGGATCAAGGGTGCTTGGCATAATTAAATTTTTTGCAGTTCTGTCATTCAATATGTATATTTGATGTTATTTTTAAGTGCGATTGTTTGCACATAACTGTGAGTTAGACTATTCCAAGAAATGCTACTTCTTATAAAATTTACAAAGAGTAACACAAGCCTAATAAAGGTAGATGTTTCAATGCAAGGTGTGTCATGGAGAAAGCTGGATCGCTGAAAAAAAACCTCAAAACCGAATTTATGCAAGCGGTAATGAAAATCAATAATAATGTCTCCCAAAGTCGAACAAAATGAAAATATATCTAAAACGCTATTGACTGAGTTAGGCGAAGGCTTAAGAAAGCTTAAGTATGTCAGTCCTAGGCCTGGCTAAGTAAAAAGTTGACGCTAATGTAGGAACAAAGAAGTTAAGTTATTCTAAGATGACACTGAAGTCTATAATGCCACGGATAGGCTTGTGAAGAAACTGAACTGAATTCTTTTTTGTCTCCTCTTTAAACTACAGACGTTATGTCTCACCATCAACTGACTATGAGAAAACCCAATCGCAGGGTATATCCCAACCTCTTTGTATCGAAGGTATTCTAGAAACGTTCTTTAAGTGGACTCTAAGCGGTCAATATAAATTTGATGGTGAGGATACCAGACCACATAGGCATAGCACAGTGTAAGGTTATGAAAATAACCAGTATTTGATACCTTGCCTTTTCAGTGTGAGAGGAGACGGAGAGTTTTCTGACAAATGTGACCCCTAAGTCAGTAATTGTACTAGGCCTGTCAAGTTTCCTGCTACCAATTCTATCTGCATACATAGTAGTAATGACTTCTGTTTTTAACGTAAACGACGAAGCATGACAGCATCCAAAATCAATCTGTTTTCACAGCATCAGTTGTCAACTCTTACACCATTGCATTGCAATAACTTAAGAAACATCATTCAAAAAGAGAATAAATAACATAGGTCCCAAATTAGAACCTTGAGGGACACCAGACATAACAGGGTATCCGCTTATGTCCATTGCACATAACAATTGTTTCCTATCAAATAAATCGATATGAAAAATAGTAGCAGTAAATCTGAAAGACCAAATCTAGGTAACTTATTGAGAATGATGTTATGATCTAACCTGTTTAGAAAAATCGATGTACTATATATTACATCCGTTTGAAGTTGTATATCCAAAGGTTCACGAACATTTCTATATTGATACACTTTGCTAGGCATTTTAGACAAATGAGTGAAGTATTTGCACTAAAACTAAGCAAATTTGGCAAAAAAATGCAATGTGAACATATATAGGCTTGGCTCCTGCTAGCCTATTCGAATTGGTTGATTGGTACTAACAAAGTGGAGGGTTAACTGGTAAAAGGTGCCGCTCGATGACATTACTGAATGGATGAGTTTGAATCAGAGGTGTGAGATAAGGGTGCTTATACACCAAATACCATGGCATATCGTTCACTGTACCAGTCATCAACCACATTGTAACAACGTCATTACAAAATATTATTCCCTAGCATGCCGTCTCAGATATTTTCGGCCTTTGAATGTATGCCTCAAAAGGCATTATCTAAATAATAATTCACCTAAATGTCACCACAAATAAGAGAACGCAACAAGTTAATTATTAGGTTAACAAACGTTGCAGGGGTGTCCAACTGGTCTAACGCGGCTATTGGTCGAGACGATCGCGGCAAGGCAAACAAATGTAAGTTAAAATATTACCTAAACAATATGCATATCTAAAAAATACATGGAACAGGTTACGCAACGTTATCACCAAATGCTGACCCCATCTTTTTGTATCATTTTGATTGATTATGATTTACGTTTTTTCTTTTAATGAAAAATACTGCATTGATAAATACACCGTTTCGTTTATAATTCCAAAAAGTATAAAGATTCAAAAGTTTCAGTGGCAAAAAGTAGATCTTAGCTCCGATCGAGTTGGCCACCTCTGGTCTGCAGTATTTTACTTATCTGTATTGCTATTCTCCACAATTAAAATGGAGCATTTTTTACGCCTCTTTATGGAGACTTCACCATGATTAATGCAAGTGTAACTTGGGTTATTCAATACCAGAACATCTCAGAAAATTGGCAACCACAAATATTTTGGAAACGCTCAAAGAAAACTTTTAGGATACTTGAAAAGCTATCTGCCAACGACCTCTAATATGACCTAGACAATGACCTTAGAGGTAATTTGGAGGACAAGTTTGTAAATCCAAACAGCAGCCACTATTTCAGGTCCGTGTCGAACTCGACATTCTACATCAGAGTGCATTTTCATACATTAGGTAAAGCAATCATAAGTGGTTCAATCAGTAGGACCTAGTGTAACGTCTGAAAAGTACACGAACACCCTTACTGATCCACTTATGACCACTTGACCTCATGTATGAAATTACCTCGAATGCTCGACACGAATCTATTGTCAAAAATCATGGTTGCTAATTGAACTTGAACCAGATGACCTGAGAGGTCACTGTCTAGGTCATACTTAAGGTCACTGTCAAGTAAAATTTCTGTACCGTAAAACTTTTCTTAGAACCTTTTTCCCAAACGATGTATTATTGTCAGCTTTTCGGGATGTTCGGGTATATAGTATCTGGAGGCACATTTCGGAAATATTCACTATTATACAGGGTGACGCAATTTTAACCCGTATACCAAAGTTGATTTTTTTAAATGCAATGCCCGTTTTTTATCGCATATTGGGATAAACCCTCTTAAAAGAAGAACGTTGATATAGTATATATATATATATATATATTTTTGAAATGGTGTCTACTTTAATTTTTTAAGTTCATCCATGCAACTCTTTCGCTAAGTGTGAGCTAGTATGTTTTTGGTAATTGTTTGCCCGTATACCAAACTGACACGCAATGTCCCTTTTATTAAAATTATTTCGTTTTAATTTAACATACAAAATGTAACACATCTCATGTTCTTTATATATGAACACCATTGACCTTTTATCAGTAAAAAGCCAGTAAGAGGTGGAGTCTAAAAATGTTAAAATACACAGAGTGTTTAACTTATATTTTTTTAAGAAAAAGTACATTTTCCGTTTTTAGTCTTAAACGTTCAATAAAATCAAAAATTCTATGAATTGGCTTAACGTTGAGTAAGATGAAACAAATTTGGCACAAAATTCATTTCTCCGCTTGTCAAGATGGCAATGTACAAGCTATACGTTGGCGCTTTTTTTATATAAAATACCCAATAGCTCTACATCTAATACCAAAACCCATACATATTTTATATCAATTATCTTCTACTATACGATTATGTAATAAAATGCAGGGCATTCCATTCAATAAAAATCAGATTCGATGTGTGGATCAAAATTGTGGGACAGCTGCTTCAGGTGTCCCTAAGCAGCCGCCCTATCCCGAACACGTTTCTGTCAAGACTGCTGACGACTGGCTGACCTCTCAGATACGCCACTGTTTGTATGCGGATTTTCAATCCAGTGATTATTGATTTCCAATCCACATTATTTAGTAATTTTTTTCAGAGTCAAACAAGTGTACACTTCACTGAGGTTTAATTCATTGTAAATGTTTGAATTACTATAATTGTAAATAAATGCAGATCCATTATTTACTTTAAGTTGTAGCAATGAGTAAACAATAGGACGGCGACTTGTTCAAGTAAGAACTTAATGGCAATGTAAATAAAGAATTAACATTATGCCTGATAGTCAGGTGGAATTATTTTGAGTCCCGGTGACTAGAAGATGGTGATCTATGTAGATATACAGTGTCTGATTGTAAAACTGGTGGTGGAGCAGTGAAATCAGAATAATTAGTCCACTATAGTTATCACACTCGTCAATAGCTGTACAAACTGTACAATGGATTTTGGTAGAATTTGACGCCTACTTTTGCAGACATTTAAAATTCAGAGTAAATCCGTTAATGTACGGTTTCGAATTCTCAACCTTTATTTAACCTCTGCTTAACAGAAACCAGAATGGAACTTCCAGATTACTTGATTTTTAAAAAGATCAAGAGTAGGTAGCATTGTCTGCTTACTATATACGTATTTCTGATTACAGATTAAGTCATTATATTTTGGATATTTCTGCAGCTTCAACAGCACTGAATTTCAACTAAATCGATCGGCTTTTCAGTCAGACATCGTCGTTATTGCTATTATTCAATTTCTGTAAAGGTGTTAGTCTTATAACAACATAATGTTGCCATTTTTTAAACACTGTCGAAGTGTATGGAGTATCTAGGAAAGACGAACTCTTAACAGAAAAGTGATATTATTATGTTAACAAAACATGTTAGTGATATTACTTCCGAATCATTCTTTGAGAAGGGCACTGTACTCAGGCAATGGATAGTGAGTTTCGGTAGATTTGTCCGAAAATTAATTCCAGAGTCTAGGATTAGTTTTTGCATCTAGAAGGAGTTGAAATGTGATAATGTGATAATCTGAGCAATAGTATAAAAACTTTGGATGGTGAAAATGGTAGATGACTGGTGACAAGTACTTCTTGTATATGGTGGTGATTGATCTTGAATACAGCGTGAGGGTAGGTATGTGTTGGTGATAATCCATAACCTTTAAATTGAATTTTCATAACGACTGCTTGCTCTTGGTTAAAGTACAGGGTGTCCGCAAAGTTGGGGTTTTCCTTTTCAGACAAAACTACGCTTGATAACAAAGTTAATGTGTGATGAAATATGAGCGAACATGTAAAAAAATGAAAAAGTACTCACTGTTCAGTTGAATTGAAATTCCAAGTCGTAAAATCCGTATTTACATCATAGTCGTACGTCGTATAACTATACGCTGGCGCTGGCGCTGTGGACGTGATCGAAGGATAGGACAGGGCCGGCTTCGGTTTGGTTCAGATTTGATTGAGTTTGCGGAGCCCAATATCTGGGTTCTCGTAAGACATGAGTGTATATGCTACTAAAAAAATCCGCTTATTTTCTCAAGATCTACATATCGTGTAAACGAAAACCACAACTTTGCGGACACCCTGTATAAGTCAGAAGGTCCGTCAGGTCTGATTGCCCAGATACCATTCAAAGTCACGGAGAAAGTAGGGAGGAAGAGAGATATGAAGGTCGAAGAGAGAAAGCAAGGAAGGAAGAAGGGGGAGCAAAGAGAACTGCGTCAATTTGATCCTGAAATTGATTTAGCGATTATTTGTTGTAGAAAAATGGCAACTTTGGTTGGACCTAAAGTCGCACGATTTAAATTTGTTCACAGAGTGAGACACGGTCTTATGTGCTTGCGAACTTGCTCGACTGTGTAGTCTACTGACTCACGCAATAAAGGATTGATATGCAAGTTCGCTTGACTATAACGTAGCTGCGCTTGTTGTTTGATATAGTCCCTTCCGTCTCTGTGAAGGGTCTCATTGGAGACATTCCATGGGGCGTTTGTGATCGCTCGCGAGGTTCTACTCTGCAAATGCATCTTGGCGAGAAAGCACCAAGCCGCACACGCGTAAGTGATCGCATGGTACGCGAACTCCGTTCACTTAAACCTCGGACGGGGCGCTACGTTTTTAATTACTATATTGCCCGTCTTTTCGAATAATTTTGTTCAGCCACCGATCCACCATTCTAGTACTTCCAATACCGATTTCGCAGTTGCTGAGACAAAAGACATTACGAATAAAAAGCGAATAAAGGATTGGTACAAGAATCGAGCCTTGAGCGAGTCTGGCTCTGATGTGCCGTGTTATCGACAAGAACGTTATAATAATTTTGATCCGAAATTTTATACCTTCAAGAAAAATTTTAGGAACCAGAATGGCTCTGTTGGATCAATTTATAGAGGAGACTCTTGTGCAGCAGCAGAAGCAAGATGTCAATGCTTTCCGTTCAGGGTGAAGCCCCTGATGGTTACTCGCTCCACATGGCTAATCGCCTGTACTCCGCACTGTTCTCAGATCGAAAGCCAAATTGCACGTCAGGAATCACATGGTGATTTGACGAGAAATTCTCAAGGTTACGTAAGGTCATCTTTTCAGCGAGTTTAGACGGAGCTGATAGTAGGCTAATGGCTCGGTAATACTGGAGGAATCTCTAACCCACCTTCTTTGGAATCATTATAACGTCAGTTCTGCTGGTCTGCAATGCGGGATCTCGGGAGATTCCGCTGATGAGATATGCAACTCTTCAGTTGAGGAATCTTCCGAAGTACTGGCGTCGTTGGCCCTAAAATATCTTCTGGCGGATCCTACGATGTGCTGCTCCTCGTGAGGTCATTATCAAGATCATAGTTGGGAGAGAACTATATTTCCACAGCATCAGCAAAAACCTCGACCTTCTCATCAGTCCTAAAGACTCTGCCCCCAGGGCCATGCATGTGCGGGAGTTGTTCGCGCTTTCCGTTTCTGCGGGACATTGCAACTTTGCAGAGAGAAATGCCTAAGCCAAGCGTCACTACCAGAAAGTCGCTCCATTGCTCATTGCGGAGCTCATGAAGAGCGTTTCTCGCTTCTTGAACAGGATTCGCCGCTCGGAGAATATCATCCGTATGACGAAACCTTTTCGCTTGCCTAAATACAGCTCTCTCTCAGATATTTTCTAAAAAAACCAACTATAATTTATATCCTACAATTTTACAGACAAATCTATCGAACCTCTATCTTTCATTGTCTTGGCCCGCTAGCTCGTTTGAGGTGAGCATATAGCATCGGTGTATACCGGTGCCAAATGCAACATGCTAGAACAAACATATTTCACACACTTGAAGAAGTGAATCTAGAAATAAATGTTATATCGTCGTTCGAAAAACTGACCACACACCACACACTTTACACCTACTTGTAAATTTTGTAATATGTAGGTTTTAATGTAAAAAAAAGTTTTATGAGAAGTCGCTTAGATGTTATATGGATGTTGAGTTATATGTTTAAGCATGCTCTGAATAAGTGTATGACGATAATTTTCCTATAAATTATGATGTGAACACAGTCTCAGTTTCTTTACGCTTTGGAAGTTTACCACAAATTGGTGCTAAATGGATGAAGATTCTGTTAAACTGATGAAAGTTATTGGAGTGCAACCGTTTAAATAAATGAATTAAATGGTACGTAATTCCTACTTTTTACATCTTTAGCTACAAATGTTAGTCATGTGTATCAATTTGATGTATACTTCCAATCGCTTGATTTAGTCTGTAGAGACAGAATCCTACTTCAATTACCTATATTTAGCTACAAATCAGGAATTGCTATGTCACCTCTAACTTTAAGCCACCAAACAACCAGCTTTGTTAAACCTTTGGCTACCAGAAGAATGCCTAACCTTCAAATTGAAAAATCTATCTAACGATATGCTAGTGTTCCAAAAAAAAGGTGGACATATCATAAACATGTAGACTCTAGGTACTTAAATGTTTAAGAAAGTCAATACTAAAACGCCTGACATAAATGAATAAAAAAAATAGAGCAAAGATAAAATGTGTTAGCACATATCTGTTCACCCTTAAAACATCAATCGTACAATAATTTGTAAGTTAAATCTGGATATACATGGTGACCTGAATATAGAAATAGAAATTACGAAATAATGTTACTACTCAAAGTTGCAACCAGGATTTACTATTTTCATCACAGTAAGTGCAACCACTAGTTCATGAACTAAGTGAAATATTATTTCCCTAACAAATACCATAAAACCTAAACTCATAGAAGGTTTTGCCATAAACCTTCGTGCTCTGATAATATTGATGCTAATGAGATTGTGCGAAAGGAACTTCGTAAACTACTGTTTATAATCAGGCCGCAGTGTATATTTGGCATTTTGCGTATCCGTATATGTGTATGTTCATTTCAGTACTCAAGAATTGATATCAGCATCAAGATCTATAAAGCCATGTTTTTTTGATACTTTACTCATAAAATAGGCGCAAGGATGCGAATGAAACTGTGAATAGTTTTGAATGAATACCCTTGGCAAGAATAAGATAGTAGTATAAAAATTGGCATCGCCTTGTATAAAACTTGCATCGAAAATAATAATTAAAACATTCGTTTATTTTTTGCGAGGTTGGACTAATTTAGTTCATTGACGAATAAAATAAACATTTGTTGTGTGTGTATATTAACAGACGAAATGGCAATGATACAGATAATGATATCCATGATTGTGGAAAAAAGTAAATATAAGTGTTTACAATGACGTGATGCCAAAGGGAGCCCTCGACTTTGACGGGGGTATCCAGACGACCGATAGACCTCCTGACCTACAAGACTTTAACTAAGATCAACGGTACTATGCACCGCTCTGACGTCTGGAGGTCTAATAAACGAGGTAGAAAAAGAAGCAGTTTTCGAACTTTTATTGGACCTATATCACTAACGTCAAAAAATTTTACAGACTCATTGTTTGAACGTTTTGCCACAAACAAGCGTACTTAAACTATAGTTACTGGAAGTACTTGTATTTATACCTATATAGCTACAAACACCAATATCTCAATTTTCACCCTTTTACACATCATTTTGTTGGATTTTTTGGGTTTTCATATATTACTGAACTGTTCTCGTTCTCCCGGGCTGGGTACGGCCCTGTTCCTGAAGATGGTCATAAACACAGATCCGGAGCAAGCAAATAGAGCGAAGTTGAACGGCGAACTTACTATGGCAGTAGTGAGCTGTGGAAGCGATTATCAGGATCAACACCTGATGCACTCCCAAAGCTCCTAAAGTACATATAAGCTACGACTACTAGTATTTGACCTGAAGATGAGATACCGTACTCTTGCCAGGATGTTAACATCTTCGTGCGTTATTCGCGTTATGGTTCTATTATACAGGGTTATCCAAATTAAGTGTCCACCATTAGTAACTTTGTTATTAGTGAAAATACAAAGTTGTTTGAATTAGCAAACTAGTAGCATTTTTAACGCTGGTAAAAATGAGAAATAAAAAAAAACAATTGAGAGTCGTTATTTTGATTTTTTTCAGTAAAATAACATTTTTTTAAATGGAAACCCCTGTATATTATATTTTTTTCTGTTAAAGCATCAAATTTTAAACAAAAAAGCTTACAATAACTTTCCTCCTAGGTTACAAATTGTTGAAGTTATGGCCTCCAATCTGACACAATTAAATTGTATCGACAAACTTTATTTTCAACATCAACTTATAATCTTACAAAATACAATAACAATTTTTTTTAAAGAAGATGCTCGAAAACACCACCTTGTTCTTCAATACATTTTTGGACACGTTTTTCAACTTTTCAACTTTAAATTAATGACACAATAAAGCTTATAAACAAGTATTTACACTAATGTTTGACATTATTTGATTTTATCATTGTTTTCCAAAGCCTTCTAGTTGCGAGTATGTCCAGTTTAACAATTTGTCGCTTATCTTAATGCTGTCAAATCGCGAACGCCATGTTGTTTTCATAGCCGTCTTAATATTATAATACTGCAAATAATTAAAAATATTTATCGTTATTTTGACTTTATTTTTGACTTTAGCGGAAAAGTCATTATTAACTTTTTTGTTTAAAATTTGATGCTTTAACAGAAAAAAATATAATATATAGGGGTTTCCATTTAAAAAAATGTTATTTTACTGAAAAAAATCAAAATAACGACTCTCAATTGTTTTTTTTTATTTCTCATTTTTACCAGCGTTAAAAATGCTACTAGTTTGCTAATTCAAACAACTTTGTATTTTCACTAATAAGAAAGTTACTAATGGTGGACACTTAATTTGGATAACCCTGTATAGCTTCGTGAACACGTAAGTAAACATTCGTTTATCTTTGCGAAAGATTATATATTTTTTTTTTTTTTTTTTTTTTTTATATCGAAACAGCCGCGCAGGCAGAAGCCTAAATGCCGGAACACCGCGGCTGCTATGATGATTCCAAACAAATTTTGTTAATACGATTTTTGAACTGCCCAAGGTTAGTAGAACTGGGAAAAGCTTCCTCCCGTAGATTGTTCCACAATCTAGACACCCTCGGGACAAAGGAGCGGTCGTATCGGCCAGTTCTGGATGTACGAAGTTTGACACGGTTAGGATGGGACGCCGAACTCAGGCGGGTCTGTCTGGCAGGCACATCACGCGGCGGCATCATGGAAGAGAGCTCTGAGGAGCAAAGCCCGTTGGTGTAGCGATAGAAAAGTGCTAGATCGCCGACGGCCCGGCGGTGCGAAAGAGTCCCGAGACTGTCTGTTAGAGAAGAGTCATCGATCAGTCGGACCGCCCTCCTCTGGACAGCATCGAGCATGGACAATGTAGTCGGGGCGGCAGCACCCCAAATGTGTGAGCAATACTCGAGGCTAGGCCTTATCTGGGCCTTGTACAGAGTGAGAAGGTCATGCGGAGAAAAGTACTTCTTAGCCCTAAACAAATAGCCTAGCTTTTTCCCAGCAGCTGCAGCTATTGAAGAGATGTGTTCGTGCCAGATCAGGTCCTCGGTGATCTGGACTCCGACCAGCCGAAATGAATGGCTCTTTGGTAGAACTCGACCGTCCATCGAAACTGTATGAGCGCTAGGACGCTTTTTGTTCGTCAAAGTACAGTACTGTGTTTTGGAAGCATTGAACTGTACAAGATTGTTGCGTCCCCAAGCAGTGATAGCCTCCAGGTCTCTTGTCAGAGAAGAAGTCGTCGCTAGTCTTCTTTTTTCCAGCTCAGCGGCAGAGATCGGCTTGTCACTCTGAACTCCTGCATGTAGAGTGCTGTCATCAGCGAAGCTGTGGATCGGGTTGATCGTGCAGGAAAGGAGGTCGTTGATATGTAAGAGAAACAGTGTTGGTGCCAAGACCGATCCCTGGGGAACACCCGCGTTGACGTTGTGGGATGAAGAGGAGAATCCGTCAATTACGACGGATATCTTGCGGCCAGAGATAAAGTCAGCCATCCATCTGCAAAGCTTTTCTGGGAGGCCGTAGGATGGAAGTTTGCTCAAGAGGGCAGCGTGCCACAGCTGATCGAACGCTTTCGTGATGTCAAGAGCAACGACATGAGCCTCACCATGAGACTGGATGAGTTTACTCCACAGTTGCGTGACGTAAGCGAGGAGGTCCCCTGTGGATCGTTGGTGCCGGAAACCGTACTGCCTGTCGCTAATCAAGCTGTGACGTTCGAGGTAGTCCAGCAGCTCGCGATTTATGCACCTCTCCATCACTTTACTTATAACAGAAAGCAGAGCTATAGGCCTGTAGTTGTAAGGGTCGGTTTTAGATCCTTTTTTTGGGATGGGCTGTACATGAGCAAATTTCCAGTTTTCTGGGAAGGTGCCGGATTCATAAGATATCTGGAAGAGACGCGAAAGAACTGGAGCAAGCTCAGCTGCACATCTCTTCAGTACAATGGCAGGAATCAAGTCCGGACCAGAAGCTTTGTTGATGTCGAGCGACAAGAGCACTCGTCTTACGGTCTTATGCCTGAATGTTACCTCCCGCATAGTGTGGGGAACCCTTTGAATTGACGGCACTTGGGCGTTGGTGGGGACGTCCATGGTGGAGTTGGCAGCAAAGATCTTGGCTAGCACTTCCGCCTTGGCCTTTGAGTCGAATACAATAGTTCCATCCTGACACGTAAGTGGTGGAAGGCTACTGTGTGAGAAGTTCTTTTCAATCTGCTTGGCCAGCGTCCAGAAAGACCGACTGCCATTGCGCTGCGACATTACCCTGTGCCTAACTTTTACATCATGCTGGGTTTTGGCATTGCGAACCGCTTCGTTATATTTGTTTCTGGACTCGACGTCGGCTTGTCTGTTCTCTACAGTGGGGTTTTGTAAGTAGGTTCTGTGGGCCTTGATCTTCTGCTGGCGAGCAGTGTCACACGATTTGTTGAACCAGCCGTTGGACCCTGGTTTAGGAACTTTCACTGTGTGAGGGATGTATTCCTCCATTCCGACGTGGATAATTTCGGTTATTGAAGAACAGACAGTCGACGCATCCGCGTCAGTGAAGCAGACATTTCTCCAAGGAAAGCTAGAGAAGAAGTCTCTGAGCCCCTCCCAGTCGGCATGTCCGTAATGCCAAGTTTTGCGGCCTGTGCGAGTTTCTGCGGCCACAGCGGCTTCTGACCGAAACCTAACCTCCACAACACCGTGATCTGAGTTACCCAGGGGGGACAGGACAGCAGTGCTGTAAGGGGCAGGATGCGTGGTCAGAAAGAGATCCAGCAGGCTACTGGCGTGTGACGAGACGCGGGGGAAAAAAGTAGGGCTCGTCACCAGCTGGGTCAGCCCTTGAGTAAGAGCGAACGCTTCGACTGCACGACCTGCTGCATCGGTCTTATTTGAGCCCAACCAAAGCTCATTATGGGCATTGAAATCACCGAGAAGAACTACCTCTGAAGCGGGATGATTGATGTTCAGGAAGTCGATCTGGACGGCGAGGTATTCGAGTAGGTCATCCCAGTTATGGTTCGAGGGAGAGCGATAAAGGCAGCAAATAAATTTGGGTGATGTTTTGGAGTTGAGGCGAAGCCACAGAATGTCCTTCCGGTCTGATTCCAAAGCAAGATCCCTGGAGCAGGAAAGACTGCTGCGGACAAAAGCCACAACTCCCCCGTTCTTTCTCAGATTGGAGTGCACCTCGTAGTTTGGGAAGTTGAGATGGTTAATCGGTGCAGTCTCTGAGATTTTTGTCTCCGCCAAGAAAAGCACGGCGGGACGATTGGATTGCAGGTAGTGATGAACAGCATCAATGTTGCTGTTGATCCCGCAGATGTTCGAAAAACAAATTTTATCTTCGATGTTGTTCCCTCGAGCCCACCCTCCACCCGGACATTCCGACCCTGGAATCTTTTCTGCAATGAAGAGCAGGAGGACTCTCTGAAATAGCGATAGATAATGAAACTAGTGCGAGAGTAACATGTCAGGGCCCCTGGTTAACTGAGTTTCCAGGTCGTCAGATTGCTGACTCGAAACAGATTGACCTTTTATGATGGAAAGTGGTTTAAACAAATGGGGACACTATGTACATATTATCGATTCTTGAGTAATGAATCTCCTACAGCTTATCCATATCTTCCAAAAAGTACCCAAGTAATAGCTTTAAACTATGTCAGTTCAATTATGTAACTAATTGTTATAAATTTCGAGAAGCCTAATATAATAGAGAACAGCGAAACATAATAAAATGTCCAGTATGTGGATCGTTTATTTTATAAATGATTTATATATGATTAGTTATTGTGATAAAACTTTAATATATATTTAATGAACAAAAAAAAAAACGTTAGCGTACGTAGCCAAAACTAATTTTATAGCATTTAGTCTTAAATGATTCAAGCTCAAAATGCAGCAATCATAAATAGACATCTATAGTAAAAATAGTAACACGCTAAAATGGAATTTGTCACTTTATCTACTCTCAGGAGCTAGTCATTCTGCTAGTTTGTCAATTCTGAATGACCGAATGGAACAATCTGAACATTTATTCTGAGAAGGAAAGTTACAGAACGGACAATATTTCGTGTAATAGCGTTTTGGCTTAAAATGTAAAATAACATAACTTTAACGATAAAACCACCCAGAAAATTGCCAGCTTGGTCTATTTACAAATTTCAGTCGGGAAAAGCGCTAAATGTTCAAATCTGATGAGGCAGATATTCCGCTCCTTAAACCGAGTCGATCGAATTATAGTGGTCTTCGGTTATGATGCTGCATTTTGAAGGTGAACGCTCTATAGGTGATAAATATTGAGTAGTGTAAAAATAGTCTA